AAACCCAAAACCCTAAAACCTTAAAGACCCTCTCTCTGGGTTTCACTTCCCTGACCCAAGGTCGCTGCCCGGGTTTTGCTCTGAGCTGGGGCAGGCGGCTGTCGTTTCGATGAGGCTCTGAGGGGTGTGCGTAGCAGCATGCCTCGTGTAAGGGTTGCCCCATAAGGGCTACTGTAGGTTACCCCTAGGGTCCCTATATGGGGCTACTAAAAAGATACCATACATAGCAATTTTAGAAGTTTGGTTGCCTCAGTGGCTCGAGTGTGGCACGTCGCCCCGACCTCATCAGATCATTTTGCTGCCCAATGCTTGCTAACAAACTTGCACGCCTACATTGAAAAGGTGCGTGCTATGATCCCACATCCTTTTCCACCTCTTGGTTGACAGGAGGCCTACGCATGCGCATTCTAGTCATAAACGTGCGCTTCCTCGCCCACCTTGTGCTAAGCCCTAAACCCTAAACCCTGAACCGAAACCCTAGCTGCCCTAGCTAGGCCCTAGCTGCTCTGCAATCAGCCTTGGTATGTTTCGAAAATCAATGGGGTAATATAAGGGCCTACATACTTACTTATACTATTTTGGGGAGCTCCTCATTATAATTATGGTATAATGCTCCCCCAAACCCTATTCTAATTATCAAGGCCCCTATAGTATGGTCCGTTCGAGGTGCGTGTGCCTCGAGATTTTCTTGCACTCAGCTACTTTCGGCTTCGGAAGGTGAGCGGATGTAAGCACCCTATGAAATCTCACAAAACCGAGACACCATGATTTTAACTATTAAGAAATCTACAAGAAGGTTCAAGAACCCTCTAGAACACTACCGAGATGCATGTCTTGTGTTCGGACATCCGTTTTGTGAGCAGGCTGCGATTGCTGTGGGGGGGGGGGAACTGGTCTGGGCAGCGACGCCAGGGCTTTCTTTCTTACTGTTCTACCTAGTGTTGGCAATACGATCTCCGTTTTTATTGTTGCTGTTATCGTTATGATTGTTAGAGTTAAAGTAGTCGTGATAATCCGCGG